TCCTGCACTCTGAAGATACCGGTCACAGGTGCTGGCGAAACGTTAAGAAACAAAACTTCAAGACCGCGGCCACACAGCCCGGAAGACCCACACCAGCCATCGTACCCTGCAACAGTTAGGTTGCAGCCTTCTACCATCTCTCTCCCTGGCAGTGATTATTAAATGTCTGCTCCCATGCCAAATTTCTACAGATAAAGTGGTAAGATTGATTACAAAGAACAAGACAAGAAATATCAAAATAAAGTAGGTTGGTAATACATAAATGGAAAGGAGCATATCAAGAATAATGCAGATATAAAGATGTGCTGATCACAATACTTGGCCATCAGTGCTAAGAGCTGGCCCTCCATTACTCCAAGCTGCACAAGAAAAAAAGGGCACTTAGCCATTTAGTTCAGGTGATGTATATTTGATCCTTCAAGCCTGCTACCTTTCTAGAAAAAAGTCATAAAGTTTATAATGCTCATACACTTTCTTTCATGCCTCTTCTTTCGTTTACTTGATCATTGTCTTCTTTTGCAGAAAATAAGACTTACATTTGATGATAGAACAGTCTTTGGCTGCAGAGAAAACAAACTTGTCATCTGGTGAGATGACTAGGCAGGTGATGGGCAGCTGGTGACCTCGTAGTACCTTGATGTCAGATCTGTCTGGAGGCTGCAACTATTCAGAGAATATCAATTAGATCAGCACCCAGATCCTGGGTATGGAGGAACCAGAGGAACATCTGAAAGGCTCCTGTGAGGACTATTCAAGCATGTCAGATAAAGTCACTTGAATTTGACTGTGCAACTCCTATGGAGGGTATAGATGCACAATCCCATGTGTTTGAGCCTGTTGGTCCTGAGGAAGTGGACAGGGTCCTTAGGAATGTAAGCATGGGCCACCTGTGTATTAGATCCATGTTCCTCTTGGCTGGTGAAGGCCTTCTGGGAGACAATGTGTGGTTGGGTCAAGGCAGTAGTAAATTCATCCTTGTTTGAGGGGAATGCTCCCTCCTGCACTGAAGGAGGTAGTGGTCTGCCCCCTCCTCAAAAATCCATTGCTGGACACAATGATATCAGACATTTTTTGTCTGGACTCCAATTTTTCCTTTTTAGCTTGTGAGAAGATTATTGGACTGCAGCTTCAGAGGAAATGGGTTATCTCATGTGATGGAATGGAATTATGAAGGCCAAGCTCAGGGAGACAAACATTTTCTTAGCTCACCAGAACCGCGTGGGAGGAACAAGAGGATGAGACTGGCACCTCCCTGAGGAATTCACACTGTTGTGGCTGGAGGACTTTGGGAACTGGGGTTTTAGTCTGGGAAGATTCTTGCTAGAGGTTGTAGCTAATAAGCGTGGGAGGAACAAGAGGATGAGACTGGCACCTCCCTGAGGAATTCACACTGTTATGGCTGGAGGACTTTGGGAAATGGGGTTTTAGTCTGGGAAGATTGATGTCAGGCCTAGCCCAAGGAACTCCAAGAGACAATGCCAATTCAGTCCAGCTATGTTTATTAGCTACAACCTCTAGCAAGAATCTTCCCAGACTAAAACCCCAGTTCCCAAAGTCCTCCAGCCACAACAGTGTGAATTCCTCAGGGAGGTGCCAGTCTCATCCTCTTGTTCCTCCCACGTGGTTCTGGCGAGCTAAGAAAATGTTTGTCTCCCTGAGCTTGGCCTTCATAATTCCATTCCATCACATCTCAACCTTTGAAGTCTGGTTTCAGAACTGGACATTGTAATGAGGTGGCATGCAGTGCACTTGAGGATGATCTCTGGTGGGATCTGGATAGTGGTGGTGCATCTGTTCTGCCTCTTCTTTCTCTCTCTGTGGGCTTTACTACTATCAATCATGGTACCCTTCTGGACTAGCTCAGGATTGGAGGGGGAATGGGGGCGTGATATTGCAGTGGTTTTCCTTCCTCTAGAGTGGATTCCAGTTGGTGCTAGTGAGGGGAGAGGCCCAGTCTGTTTTGCAGTGTTCCTCAGGACTCTACTCTCCATTCATATTTAATATATACATAAAGCTACTAGGTGAGCTCACCCACCAACACAGTGTTAGGTATCAACTGTGTGCCCCTGAAAATTACTCAGAAATTGCAACTGATCCAGAATGTGCTGGTGTGAGTAGTTTTGGGCACACCATGGTATGCAGCACTATTCTGGGGACAACATCATGTGCTGCTATTCTGAGAGCTGAAACAGCTCCTAGGAGCTTCTGGAAGCAATTCAAGGTGGTAGTTATCACCTAAAGCATGGCATAGGGCCACATTATCTGTAGGACCATCTCTCTTCTATTATTTCACTCTGTCCCACAAGATCCAACAGGCATGCTCTGTGTTCCTTCTATCAAATAATGCCATCTGATGGGACCTAAGAGATGCACCTTCTCTGTTGTGGCCCCTGTCCTGTGGAACAGCAGAACTTTCAAAATCTGGATGGCTCTTACCTTGCCAGGCATTGAAGACTTAACGTGGCACTGAAGACTTAGTTTTTCCCTCAGGGATTGTGCCAGGGAATTAGGTGAGCTCATCTTTAAAAAGGTTTACTAGGTAGGCATGTGAATAGCCTCAGGCACAATGTGCTTTTAGTTTTTTGCTTTTGTTTGTTGCTTTTAATTCAATGTTAGCTGCCCAGAATGGTATTGCATAATTCTGTCCCTAGGGAAAGGAGAACATTTAAAAGCCAGCAAAAATCCCACAACAATCTCAAATAATAAAAGGCTCCATATCGGATGCGCTGGAAGTCACACTTCATGTACTTCGAGGAAAAGAGAAATAGGTGCTTTGCAATTCTGCATAACTGTGCTGTAAAAAAAATTTCTACTTACACTATTGGCAATTTGTCGCTGCAATTTTCCTTTCTGTTCAAGCTATGGGGGACAAATAAAATAGAATTAGACTGACCCTTGCTTCCTACTTCAGATTATAAACAGTTTTAAAATACATAAAGTAGGAAAAAGTATATGGGTCACATTCTTATACCCACAGATAGCTAAATACGCGTTAGAGTTAACTGAATTTCTTTTAAAAATAACATTAAATTCTTCTATATGGATTTCAAAACTGATCACAATCTCCTCTTAGCTTTGACAAGAGAATCAGTGAGTAAGTGCCAATCTCTATGAAATACTCACATTTAAGAACTTCAAATCACAGTCCTACAAGACTGACACTGAGAGTATGTGACTCATAGTTATCTGGCTGACTGAAAGGTAAGTAGCTGAAAGGAAGCAAGGCAGGAACCGGTTCCAGAGAATCAGATGCGAAAAGCCCATGAAAAAGGTCACTTCCCCACAATTAGTCAGCTTTTTTCATCTTAGAACATTAGTTCAGACTGAATAAAAAGATGATTGTGGATGCAAAAAGAAATCACACTAGAAGTTATCAGATTACAGATGTCAGAGAAGTTCACTGTATCCTTAAACAAAGACTGAATTGCAAGAAAGGGTGTTTAATTCACAAGAGGAAGCAAACTCTCTGCATATCACCTTGACTGTACAATTGCCCTGTCACACCATTGACTTCATGTCTAAAAGCCCTCACAGATACTCTTTCCTTTTTGCCACTTAAAAGTGGATCATGGCCAAACAAACAGGCATGCTTATGTTTTGCTTATTATTAATTTCTTTCTTTGCGTAGGAGAGCAATAGTGATTTATAAAAGACTTATCCACACTCTACTAGAATTGAGCCTTGCCAGGCCTGCAGCATGGAAAGCAGTTAATTCCACTACTCTCTAGTGACAAGACACCATTCACTTCATGGGGAAGGTGGGGCTGTTTAAGCTTTCTAATACCCAATCCAGGAAAGCCAGAGGCACCAATCAATTCCTTTTCAGTCTACTACATCATGCCCTACTCACCACATCTTCCTTCAGTCGCCCAGCAACCAGGTCTTTCTCAAAAGCCTCTTGTTCAGCCTTTTCTTCCTCTGCCCAAGGCAAAAATCATATACACTTAGATGTGCTTACTTAACCATAGAAACCAATCTGAAATCAATTTCAAATCCTGAAGATCCTTCAGTAAAACAAATGCCCAGAGCCAACCATTTACCTAGTAGGATGAGGGTTTTCCCCCCCAAAGTGCTTTGCTATCTCTAATAAGTGAAATCATCTTCTAAAGCACTGAGAAATTGGTTTAAAAGACACAGATTAAATTTCCCACTTCATAAATTTAGGCAAACTCTAATACCTTCTCTACACAAAGGAATAGATTTTTTTAATTTCCACACACTTCTCACGATGAATTCCCAGTCATCTTTGTTGAAGTTTTCTAACAAATAGCTGAAAGGTTAAATAATCAAATAAAAGTTCACAATAGGCTACCAGGCTAAAAAATGTACCATTAATTACATATAGGAAAACAACAGACTTCAACTCAACCCTGCAAGACCCTGGCAAGAGACACTGCCAATCTTGGCAACAGATTTCAACCCAACCCTGGCAAGAGTGGCTTTGGGTCTTGGGGCCACCAGGATCTTGGAATTTACCACCTTTAGTTCTGGATGGAGTGGCATTGCCCCAGACAGACCCAGTGCACAATCTGGGGCTCCTTCTGGACTCACGGCTCCTGCTCAATGAGCAGGGGGGAGTCATGGCTAGGAGGACCTTTGCACAATTTCAGATTGTCACCAGTTGTACCCATTCCTGGACCTGGAGGCCCTACGCTCAGTCACTCATGCCCTGGTCACCTCCTGTATGGATTACTGTAATGTGCTGTACATACGGCTGCCCTTAAAGAGCATCCAGAAGCTTCAGCTAATGCAAAATGCAGTGGCATATGGAGTTACATACACACCTACATCAGTGCAAGTTACACCTCTGCTCCGTGAACTGCATCGGCTACCAGTTTGCTTCTGGTTTCAATTCAAGGTGCTGGAGATGACCTATAAAGTCCTACATGGCATGCGGCCAGGGTGTTTGACGGACTGCCTCAACCCAATTTCATTTACCCATCCCATCAGATCCAGCAGAAGGGGCATGTTGCGGGTCCCACCTACAAAGGAATATCATCTGACCGGACCCAGGAGAACGTTTTCTGCTGCAGTGCCCATCTTTTGGAACATCCTCCCCCTGGAGGTGAGATTGGTCCTGACCCTGTTGGCCTTCTGGAAGAGCGTGAAGACATGGCTTTGCCATCTGGCCTGGGGATCTGGTGATGTTGGTGGAGAACCTGCTAAGTGGTTGTACTTTTAGGAAAATGAATGGTGCTCTCCCACCGATTATGTTTTTATGGTTTTAATAGTTTTATTGTTTTTGATGTTTTTAATTATTTTTGCAGTTATTTTTTGGTTGATGTTTATTGTTTTCCGGATTTTTAACTTTGTAAGCCACCCAGAATCACGGTAATGAGATGGGCAGCTATATAAATTTAACAGATAGATAGATGGATAGACAGACTGGTTTCAGTCATTTCATATATTAAGAATTTTAATCTGATTGTTTAACAGTCCAATTAAATCAAATCTAGCTTCTCCTTCTCACCTTGTTGGCGAAGCTGTTCCAAATATACCTTTGCTAATCTCAGTTTCTTCTCTTGTGGCGTCTCTTCAATTTCTTCTTCTGCTTCATTGTTCTTTGCTGGGCTACAGATGGAAAAGAAACAACTTACACAGAAGTACTTTGTATCACCTGAACAATTATCCATCAGCAAGAGAAAATGTCTTTCCAATCCCCTCAAAGAGAATAGTTCAGCCAATTGTGCCAATTCCTAATGCAAATTTGTGAAACCTTGTTCAGTGTTACATTCTATGAGATTCCTGAAGTACAGACCTTTGAGGCCATTAAGGAAATGCCACAAAGGACTGTACTTCAGGAATCCCACAACCTGTTATATCACCAGGAAGTCTCATAGCACAATTCTCTCATCATCTGCTTCAGGCAACTATCTCCATAGGAAATTCCTATACAAATTCCTAATTTTTATGACATAATCTTCCTAACTAGAGAAGAACGCCAAAGCAGTTTGGCATATCCTTACACATCTGGTTCAGAATCACTGGAGATCTCTTCATTCAACTTGGAGCCAGCTTTCTGCCAAGCTTTTTCTTCGCCAGCTGGGACCTGGGAAATAAAACACTTACTTTAGATCAAAACTGCAAATCTGATGAAATAAATGATAATGCCTTCACTCAGATGTTGAACAGCTAGAGGAGCAAGAACAAAAGCTAATAAAGCCTAAGTAACTGGACAGATAGAAAATGTTTTACCCAAACAAATTTTACCATTAAAATAGAGCGTTCAGCATGCTACCTTTCTTAGGTGTGGAAGCTACGTGGGAGCATGTTTGGTTAGAAACTGGATGGGAAACCACCAGAAAATCCCGGGACTATAATTTAAAAGAAATTGAGAAAACAATAGCAAACCACTTCTGCAGGAAGGAAGCTACATGGATGTGTCCATAAAGTCACCAAGAATTAAGCCTGATTTGAAGGGGACTTTACTTTTCTTACTTGTGTATGAATAAAATTAAGGTTTAAAATTGATTTTGAGATAACAGAACATAACCCCCTTGGAACCCCTTTACTTGGAAGATGTACCACGTGTCTCCTAAAATTTAAGACTGAAATTCAAATACCAATTTATTAGGGGCCAAGCATCACAATCTAATAATTTACTTCTGTGTAAATTCTGCTAGCTACCCTTCTTTTTCTAACCCCTCGAACACAAGAACAGAAATAGGACAATTCTGACCGCTCTGAAACGAGCGTGCTCGGAGTTCGTTTCGCAAGCCCTCGGGCAAAGCTTCGCCCCCCTTCATTCGTTCGCCCAGCTGCCTTCTCTCCCAGTTCCCCGCACCGACCTTTCGCCTTTTGCGCCCGGGCGCCGTGGCCGAAGCAGAAGCGCCTCGCTGCCTTTGCGGTCTCCTTTTCGGACCCGCGGCCGCCATGCTACCCAAGACACCTCAGCTTCTCCGGCGAACATGTGGCTCCCCGAGCCAACCCCCGACGCCTTCCCATTGGGCGAAACCGCTTCCGGCCTTCCCCATTGGCAGACGTTCTTCCAGGAAGGCCTTCTGCCTCTTCCCTCTCGTTGGTTCGAAGGGATGGAGCTGGTTTACTTCCGAGGCGGCGCTGGGAGGGTGCCCGGGGGCGCTTCGAGCGCGCTGGGTGGGAAAGTCAGAGCCGCTGAGGTTGAAGACCGAGTGGAGAGAGGCAGCCCCGGCTCGAGGGCGGATTATGCCGCATAAGGAGAGGAGCGAGGACTGGTGGATGCAG